TAAGCATACGTAACTAAGTACAAATTGTCGTCTACTATATTACTTGATGAAATGCTACTTTAATAGGTACCGTTCAAGTAGACATCATTGTTACGTGGCATTCTAACGAATTCAACTAAGTATCGTACGATTCGGTAGAAAAACGCTATGAAGATGTCAATGAATTTGATGATCTTAGTAATTCTTAAAAAAATCTAATATCTCATACTTATAGAGCGTTTATTTGTAGATACGCTATTTATAGAGAGAATAGAAACGATTAAGAATCGGGGATAGGCTTATGGTGGACATCAGGTTTGGTTTTTATGATACCAGGGTGACGCGGAATGCATGCTAAACTAAATAGATAGAATCGTAACTATTTATCAGTATACAAGTATTATCACTTTGCTACTGAATAATAACAATAAGAATAATATTTATTCAACAAAATTAGCATTCAAATGTATAGGTTACGCTTACAAGTTAGCATAATATAATCTGTGTTAGGTAGGTACATTGTATTAGTGAAACCTAGAGGAGGAATGTACTTAGAAGGTACTGATAGATGATAGCTAATCAAGGTAAATAATTGTGGAACTTCACGATTGCCCAAGAATTTCTATACTTCGCGTCGTTTGAGCCAATTGACGTCCACTGCTGGACAACGACCGGTCCTGCGCTGCCCGCATCCAGGCATTTCTCGAGACCTTCACCAGAACGTCGGTCCACCTAGTGGCAAATATCAGATAAAGTCATTGGTTTAACACTACTTACTAATATTATAAATGCGAAAGTTTGGAAGTCTGGATGTTTGTTACTCTTTCACGCAAAAACTAGTAAACGCATTTTGAATAACATATAGGCTATAATTTATAACGATCTATGACAAAATAAATTTAAAGCTAGTACATAATATTAAAAAAAAAAGCCTAAAATATAAGCATTCTCGGAATTAGAAAATGAGTTATGTTACGTTCGACCTAAAATCCTCAAATCAAGGGTTAATCTCCGCTCTCCGCTAACCCTACGCCCATACCTAACTAAACCGATAAATAATTTCCAAGAATTAATTAATAAAACATAAACAGGATACTGAAATATAAACACACTTGATTAATCCGAGCAAACGTAATCTAAGCGGAAAGTTTACGTTTTAGAAATGAAGATTGTATTTTTTACTTTTTCAGTAGACGCCATTCTGTGTACAACAAGATGGCGGCTTCAAAGCAGGGAAGGATTATACGCTTTCACATTTTGATTTGTATCTTGATTGTTAATGTAAGTACCTAAGTCTTCAGTACCTTCATAATAAAATTATTCAATGCTTTATTGAAATCTTTGTCGATGGTGTGGGTTTCTTCGGCTATGCAACTTCCCGTTATTTGCTTCCCGAACTCTGGAGAACTTCATTAAAAGTCACCTAATATGGCTCAAATTGACCTTTAGGTTAACATGCACATTAAAATTACAATGATACCTACTTCTCCATTCGACTTTTATTTTACTTGTTACTTATGTTATTTAAAAATTACAAAAGAAAGTTAAAATGCTTTGAATTTTTTAAATATTTTAATACTTGTTATATCGGACGTGCCATTTTCTTATGTTAGTGTCAATATCTATTATATCCTACCTAAATTTCTGCCATTATAATTGCATTGTTTGTTCTTTACAGTTCATCAGTTCAACAAAGGCAAACAACTCCGGAGTCCTCGCCCGACTTCTGAAGAAAACCGATAAAAACCGACCTGTGGTTTTGGTTTTAGGCAATTCAGGTCGGAACGATAAGGTCCTATCTAGAGAAGATAGGCATGACCATAGCAATCATGGGAAGTCTGTACCCTACGAGTATCTGAAAAAATTGTTACAGGTAAGTCATATTATGATAATTTACTATTCAGAATAACCCCTTCAACTCAATTAAAATTAAAGAAGATTTTATATTAGGTCAAGGATGTGATCATAGAGAAGTAAAAAGAACTGGTTTTGCAAATATATGTTCTGTGAACCCTTTTTCCTCTCCTCCTCTCTTCAAGTCTCCACTGCAGGAAAAATACACTCTCTAATTTACCAAAGACAAAAAAAGGAGATTTGATTTTCACTCCCCAGGTTGACGACGACTCAAAGGTCAAAAAATATATATTTATTAATGAACCATTTTATTTTCAGGACGATTCACATGAGCTGCATCACTCAAGAGACCATAAGCATCATGATAGTAAAGACAGAGACAANGACCTTCACGAGAACGTCGGTCCACCTAGTGGCAAATATCAGATAAAGTCATTGGTTTAAAACACTACTTACTAATATTATAAATGCGAAAGTTTGGAAGTCTGGATGTTTGTTACTCTTTCACGCAAAAACTAGTAAACGCATTTTGATGAAACTTTACAGTATTATTGTTTATAACCCAGAATAACATATAGGCTATAATTTATAACGATCTGTGACAAAATAAATTTCACGCGGATGAAGCCGCGGGCAAAAGCTAGTACAATGTACTAAGTACATAATATTAAAAAAAAACGAAAAAAGCCTAAAATATAAGGATTCTCGGAATTAGAAAATGAGTTATTTTACGTTCGACCTAAAATCCTCAAATCTAAGGTTAATCTCCGCTCTCCGCTAACCCTACGCCCATACCTAACTAAACCGATAAATAATTTCCAAGAATTAATTAATAAAACATAAACAGGATACTGAAATATAAACACGCTTGATTAATCTGAGTAAACGTAATCTAAGCGGAAAGTTTACGTTTTAGAAATGAAGATTGTATTTTTTACTTTTTCAGTAGACGCCATTCTGTGTACAACAAGATGGCGGTTTCGAAGCAGGGAAGGATTATACGCTTCCACATTTTGATTTGTATCTTGATTAATGTAAGTACCTAAGTCTTCAGTACCTTCATAATAAAATTATTCAATACTTTATTGAAATCTTTGTCGATAGTGTAGGCTTCCTCGGCTATGTAACTTCCCCTTATTTGCTTCCCAAACTCTGGAGAACTTCATTAAAAGTCACCTAATATGGCTTAAATTGTCCCACAGGTTAACATATCCATTAAAATTACAATCATAATTATTTCTTCAATCGATTTTCATTGAACTTCTACTTGTCACTGAAATGTTATCAAAAAATTACAAAAGAAAGTTCAAATTTTTTGTTTATTTTGAATATTTTAATACTTGTTTTATCGGACGTGCCATTTTCTTATGTATTATTTCCTACATAAAATCCTGCCATTATAATTGCATTTTTTGTTCTTTACAGTTCATCAGTTCAACAAAGGCAGACAACTCTGGAGTCCTCGCCCGACTCCTGAAGAAAACCGATAAAAACCGACCTGTGGTATTGGTTTTAGGCAATTCAGGTCGGAATGATAAGGTCCTATCTAGAGAAGATAGGCATGACCATAGCAATCATGGGAAGTCTGTACCATACGAGTATCTGAAGAAATTGCTACAGGTAAGTCATTTTATAGTCTTCGGAATAACCCCCCAACTGACAACAACTTACAATCCAAATTTTGTCATCACTGGCAACACACACTGGTTGCACCTTTAGGCACTGTGCTATTTTTGTGTCAGTTTTTTCAAGAGACGACCTCATAAAGGTCAATTTGAAAGTCATTGGGGGAGTCCCATGTTCAGGATTGGACGTCCTGTGGCTGAAATGATGACGTTGATAATAAAACGATTTTCTTTTCAGGACGATTCACATGAGCTGCATCACTCAAGAGACCATAAGCATCATGATAGAAAAGACAGAGACAGCTACTATAGACCCAGATCTTACGATAGAAAATACAGAAACAGGTATAGATACAATGACAAAAGAGACCGAAAAGATAGAAACAGAATCGAAAGGTACAGAGAAACAAGAGACCGATACCGACAGGATGATAGAAGAGAAAGGTCCAGGGATAGAGAAGATAGATACAGAGAGACTGATAGGTATACATACTACAGAGAACGCCCACGGCTGAGGACACAGGATCAAGAGCAAGATAAGAGAGTCCAGGATCAAGATAGGAGAGACCAGGATCAGGATAGAAGAGACCAAGATCGGAGAGACCAGGACAGGAGAGACCAAGACCGTAGAGACCAGGATCAGGATAGGAGAGATCAAGATCGCAGAGACCAGGATCAGGATAGGAGAGATCAAGATAGAAGAGATCAAGACAGGAGAGACCAAGATAGGAGAGACCAGGATAGGAGAGACCAAGATAGGAAAGATCAAGATAGAAGGGATCAAGATAGGAGAGACCGAGTAGACCAAGACAGAGTTGATCCTCCAAGTGGAGGCAGTGCCAGCGCTCAGATCCCAATCGTCAAAAGTTTGCTAAGATCTCTGAATTGCAATGCTAGAGATGAATGCGAAGAAACCTGCAATAATTATCCTCCAAAGAGAAAGGACGATTGTGAGGACCTGTGCGAGCAAAGGTACGAGTGTGAGGAAGAGGATGATTACGAAGACCCTTGCGATGATTGCAACGAGAACTCTGACTGTGGACGTCCATCATGCACAGGCAGTACTAGGGGTATCACGCTGGTTACTGAAAAACCTGGATGTAGTAGATGTTAAATAAACATTTGCAAATTAACTCATTCTGTAGTAACTTTTACCCGTAGATTCGCTTCATAGATATAGGAGAAAATTTTATCAGGAATAATGTACTTAGCTTTCTCTACTGATATAAGAAGTTTAAAAATCGGTTTAGTAGTTCTAGTTACATCCTTCATCAAACTCACAAACACTACAATATCTCTATTTAGAGTGGAGGATGAGTCTGAATCGTTTAAAATTACAAAAAAGGTTTATGAAAAAAGAGTTTTCGTTACTATATTTTAAAACTTTTTACACAAACTTTTGTCATAGAAATTTGACACACTTCACTATGTGACATTTTGTTATCAAATTGATAAAGCCTAGAATTCAACAATGAGACTGCTGAGCTAGGTATTTGAATAGAAAAATAATAGCAGTAAATCTTCGTAAAGTTGAGGACAAAAATGTCTGCACCTGTGGAGGACGTACGTATCAAAAGTTTTTGAGAGAAACTTATGTTTTCAGTTTAAAGACCTTATATTCTCGAGCGCATGACCCAGGGCGTATCCAATGAAGGCGTATCCATACTCTTAGGTCCAGAACAAACGGTGAAACGCAACTGCAACGAAACTGCAACTTTGTGATGATTCTGATGAATGAAACTGAAACTGAAAGTTTCAAACTGGTCGCGTCATGTGTGGTCTCTCAACGGACGTTATGGCAGAAACTTAGATGCAACTCAAACTCGTTGCAGTTGTGTTTCACCGTCTGTTCTGGGCCTTATACATCTATCCATTCTGCTCTCTCTATAATAAAAAAACCGCCAAAAATCCTGCAGGGTAAAGACCTAAACTCTAACTACATTAAAAATCATCTATGTATCTTTACTGTGGCAAACAGAATTGTACTCAAACAAAGCAAGATATTAAGTATTCATCCACAATTTAATATAAGTGATATCCTCAAAAGAAGCAGTTTCTCTGCACAGCGCTTAAACAAATATTCTCCTGAGCAGCTTGCTACATTCCATGTTAATTATTGGAATTCCAAAGTCGCTCATATACTTTTTAGTTACAATAAATTTATAAAATTGCTTTAATAATTTAAATCAACAAAGGAATTGCGATTCATATATTTCAGAAACGTTCAGAAAGGAGCACAACTCCAAGAGAGGGATCGGTATGTGATTCTGAAAAACTATACATTCTGTACACCCTTCGTTCGTTCGTTCGTTTCAGCCGAAAGACGTCCACTGCTGGACAAAGGCCTCCCCCAAGGATTTCCACCTCCTGTACACCCTATTCAAAGACAAATAAATATTTCAATTCTATACCCTATTATTTTAAGTTTGTATTTACTTTTTATAGTTTTTTACGTATTCTGTTTTCAGCAAAGTCAAAGAAGGAATGATACTAATGAGGTAAGCTAAGAACAAATACGTTGTAAATATTGATTGTCTTCTAGTGTATGTCTTGTTGGTTGTCCTATTAAATAAATAAAAAATAAAATAAACAAACAAAGGTGAACTTGAAAAAAGTAGCTGAAATCTAGACTGAATAATGTAAAAAAGTCGGTGTACTAAATTTACTATTTCTTTTTTCAGTCAAACCAGCAAAGAAATGATTCTAATGAGGTAAAAACAAGAAAGTTTTTTTTATTACGTAACGTAACGTATTTAATGAATTACGACTTTCAAATTCAAATTCAACATTTTTATTGCATATTTCAGAGACAGTTGAATAAAATAGCATCTCAAGAAGAAAAATTGGTAAGTTTGTAACATCGATTTATAGAATAGTTTAAAAAATTTCTTAGCCAATGGTTTTATGTAAAAAAAACTACTTATTTTTCACTTAGAAACCTACAATTGATAACTTCAAGGTACATCATAGAACTAAAATTAATGTTTCGTTACGAATTTCAGACAGAAAATCATTTTTTCATTTGTTTCAGAAACCTGAACAAAAAAACGAGGATGAAGAGGTTAGCAAAATTATTATTATTCTATTACTCTAACTATTAAACAGGTTGTATAAGTAAGTGGTGGAGACTAAATGATCTGATGGTGATGATGATTAATTATCAAACAACACGAAAGCGTTCACATGCGTCCCTCCCATGATTAAAAATAGTGTCTCATCATCATCGTCATCGTCATAATCAGTCATAGGACGACTACTGCTGAGCATAGGCCTCCCCCGATGATTTCCATAATGATCGGTTGGTAGCGGCCTGCATCCAGCGCAGCGCCTTCCTGCTACCTTTATGAGGTCGCCGGTCCACCTAGTGGGTGGACGTCTACGCCTCCACTCCAGAACCGTGCTGCCCCATCGACAGTCAGTTCTGCGTACTATGCGCTCTTCCACTTTAGCTTGCTAATCCTAATTGTGATAAATTTTTGTTCTAGAATGAAGATATAACCTCCCTCTACACGTTGAAGGCAGAACTGTCAGACTACATGGTACGGAGAGAGAGCGTGGAGTACCATGAAGTTTATCCTGGCGCTGAAAGGGTCGAATACGACTTCACTGTGGAACGGCAGAATATTTACGCTACCAAGTATGTTTTATTTATGTTCAGTTTCCCATCTTATAAGGGCTCTCTCAAATTAGACGTTTTAAGCAGGTCGTATACTGACTGTTGCTAATTGTAATGTTTATTTCAACGCACTGCTGAAAACTTTTAGTTCGATAGTACCCTTATAAGAACTTTATTATTATCTTGGGGTGACTTCAAGTGGCTATGGGCCTGACATTATTGTAGAATAGACGAAAAATGGCATAAAAGGGTTCTCGGATGCAGACCACGTCTCAAACGTATCGTAGAACAACCACTTGCTCGATGGACCAACGACAAGAATATGACTGGTAGCGACTTGATGGAAAAAGCGAGAGATCGTATCATATACCATCCAGCTGTGGACTATCCTTAGACTTTTTTTTAAGATTATTAGTAATTTGTTATTACCATCCAGCTGTGGACTATCCTTAGACTTTTTTTAAGATTATTAGTAATTTGTTATTGCACAAATTACTAATACTCCCGGTAGCCCCTCGTACTAAGCTAAATATGCTTGTGTCACGAGTGGGCTCACCACAATAGTCGAGCGGCGGCGGGGACCGAACCCGCGTTCCCCTGATCACGAGTCGGCCAGTCCGACCCCTTCACCGTTCGGCTATCGTGGCTTGATTAATGATGATGACGAATTGAAAAGAGCAGTTCCCTTTTTCATTTCCAGCTTCCTAGAATCCACGTCCCATCTCGTGAAGGGCTGCCTAGGAGCTGGCATCATGAGCATCCACGAAGGCTACATGCATGGAGGGCTATGGGCTTCGCTGGGAGCCACTGCCTTCATAGGGTTTCTGGTGCCATACACTATGTATGTAAGTACCTAGGCGTTTTCCTAGAAGCTTTGTGTATAAGCAGGCAGTCAGAGAGGATGTTTTTTACTGCCTACTTCAACATAAAACTTATAAAATACATACACACATACAGGGTGTCCCAAAAACAATGGATAACCCTGTAACCATCTATAGGCCTCGCCATGGTCTCCCTAACGTCCAATTTTGACCTCAGTAAAAATATCACCGTTTTCAAGATTTTTAAGTTTTTGTGCATTTTTAGAAAATTGCCACCTGCGATTACTTTTTCTCATGCCATTTCTACAAATGAGGATACTTTTCAATCTAGTTTTTTTCCTTATCACAAGGGATAGTTGGGCTATCAAAAGAAAAGATTAAAGTTCAACAAACTAGTTTCAAAGTATGAAAATTTTAAGAAATTGCAGAGAAGAAGGAAAAATTAATTCATTGTCTTGCACTTTTGATCAGCCGTCGTGTAAAAAAAATGTAGGAAGACCATCGTACCCATTACCTTAAAAACTTTCTTGGTTAATTGAGATTCTAAAAAGGTATCACAAGCCTATGTATGTATTCTGTATTATTTTTATCTTATGGCTACTTGAATAGCAACTAGTATGAAAACTGCAAAAATGAGTTTTTCTCGTAATAGTTAAACTAGGACTGCATAGTGGCATTAAATACAAATGGATAATTTTTAGCGTAGAAAGCAACATTTTATCATCATCATCATCATCATTTCAGCCATAGGACGTCCACTGCTGAACATAGGCCTGTACCCCAATGATTTCATAATGACCGCTTGGTAGCGGCCTGCACCCAGCACCTTCCTGCTTACCTTTATGAGGTCGTCGGTCCACTTTGTAGGTGGACGTCCTACTATGCGNTCAAATTAGACGTTTTAAGCAGGTCGTATACTGACTGTTGCTAATTGTAATGTTTATTTCAACGCACTGCTGAAAACTTTTAGTTCGATAGTACCCTTATAAGAACTTTATTATTATCTTGGGGTGACTTCAAGTGGCTATGGGCCTGACATTATTGTAGAATAGACGAAAAATGGCATAAAAGGGTTCTCGGATGCAGACCACGTCTCAAACGTATCGTAGAACAACCACTTGCTCGATGGACCAACGACAAGAATATGACTGGTAGCGACTTGATGGAAAAAGCGAGAGATCGTATCATATACCATCCAGCTGTGGACTATCCTTAGACTTTTTTTTAAGATTATTAGTAATTTGTTATTGCACAAATTACTAATACTCCCGGTAGCCCCTCGTACTAAGCTAAATATGCTTGTGTCACGAGTGGGCTCACCACAATAGTCGAGCGGCGGCGGGGACCGAACCCGCGTTCCCCTGATCACGAGTCGGCCAGTCCGACCCCTTCACCGTTCGGCTATCGTGGCTTGATTAATGATGATGACGAATTGAAAAGAGCAGTTCCCTTTTTCANCGTCATCTAAGAGATCTTAAACTAAGCAAAGATTGGTAAGCGACAACTCAAAATGACAGCAACTGTAAAAAAAGGTAATTTATACATCGAATATTGAGATTTGGCGTAATTTAGGCAGCCCTCCTACTCGATAGACCGATGACTTTGAACTTCGTGGGAATCCGGGAATCACCTGGATGCAGGCAGCGCAGGACCGGTCGATGTCAAAATCCTTGGGTTTCCCCCAAAAAGGATGGCATTTTGGTTGAAAAACAGCATCTCAAAAAGTTTGTCCAGTCCAGAAATCAGCGTCTTCCAGTTGTTATTGTTAGGATCTATCATGACAGAATAAATAAGCTACCTACCTACTACGTCACATATTTTCAGATGCTTGTCGCTTCAGCTCAGAAGTTGTACGTCAGGCTGCGAATACCAAGGCTGTCGTACCCTGACCTGGTGGAAGCAGCGGTAGCAACTGGACCCTTGAAGTTCTGCAGAAGATTTAGCAAAGCTTTCAGGTATCTTTCCTTCTCTTTTAAATCTAATTCTGATCTTAAATTATGGAAAAAAATATTCTGTTGCACGCCATTATGATGTAGCACCTCCGAATGTATGATCTCTTTCTTTGATTTGATTTGATTTATGTCAACACGGCCCATGTGAAATGAAGTTGATGTAAATGAAGGTGTGCGTACTCCATGCATGCTTTCCAAAAAAATTCAATATCTAAGGATACACCATCTATATTTTATAAAAGCGAAAGGTCACTGATTGACGGACTCACTCACTGATCACGAAATCTCAGAAACAATTGCTAGGAGTCTCGAATATTGCATGGGGGTTCCTTTTAGAACGTGGGTGCTCACTAAGAACGGATTTTACGAAACTCCACACCTAAAAGGGTAAAACGGTATCCACGTGTACAAAGTCGCGGGCGGCTGCTGGTAAATAATAAATTCATAATCACAAAAACAAGCATCGCGAAAAGTCTTCTATTAAAATTCTCATTAAAACTTAATTTAAACTGCGACATTTAAAATCATTTGGCTTTAACACTAGAAAGGCCGCCGTCCCATTTTTGTCCCACTCGCGAGTTTGATCGTCTCTAACTTTTTTATTTTTTAACGAAAGTCCATGAAACTTTTTGACTTTTACTGATTTATTGAATTTTATCATTTTTTAATGTTTTTGATAATATAACATTAATAGATTTTTTTTTAAAATCGGTTTTACCTAGAAGCGCCACTGGGTCATTTTTGTCCCACCCTGGTATTTGCCACAATAATTCGATGAAGAGTCCTTGTTTCGAGGAGATACGAAAGTGGAGAGGTGAGGAGAGTTTAGGTGACTCGTGACAATGCAGAAATGTAAATATATTGTACTAGTTTTTGCCTGTGACTTCGCCCGTGAGAAATTAAGTTTATCATAGAAAGACCTAATTTCTTGACACTTATCGTTGTTTTTTGACCAAATAACTGAATATTATTGTAAATTATAGCCTATGTTATGTTATTCTGAAGTATTAACAATAAAACTGCAAAGTTTTATTAAGATCGGCTTAGTATTTTTTGCGTAAAAGAGTGAAAAAACATCCATCGATTTAACTATGAATCCATGCTCACTTAGTTCAAGTTCCAGGCATATATCCACCCATTCATCCTTCCTATCCATTCATCAGTCCATCCATCCTTCAATTCATCAATATTTATTAACTTTTACATTTATAATATTAGTAGGAAGGTGGCTTCTAGACATAAGCCAGTTCATACATTGTATGATTTGATACATTTTTAAAATGTGTGACTTATAAAATTTTGAAAATTAAACGTACATAATTTTCATTGTAATTGGTAAAAAACTTCACTGTTTGTGTACAGATAACAGAAAAATAACCATACCTATAAAAATTCCTAAGCACAAAGTACACCAGAGAGACAAAACACCATAAAAAAATTGTGCAAAATGGGCACTATTATTTGTAAGATATTAATTTTTCCTTTAAAAATAATAATGACTAGTTAAAGTACTAATTTCATTATTTTCATACTGTATAACATCACGTAATATGTGACTATTTTTAAAAGAAACCAAAAATATCTGAACTTTTAATAATTCAAAATTAAAATTGAATACATTAATTGTATTTTTAAAGAAATAAGTACATATTGATTTAACTACATAGATAAACCTTTTATTAAGGATACTACAAATAGTTTTAACCATAATATTCATGCCTGGAACTAAAAAATGTTACAAATTATATGTTGGGACAAAATTGACCCAGCGGCGCTTTTAGGGGGGTCGCAATCTTCGGCACTTCTAGTGTTAAAACTCATTATCTCGTTTTACCTCTTTATAGTGGTTCAACGAGATAAATAATCACCTCAAAGAAATGTCCAACGAAAAGCTTCGCCTGAAAGCTTTCAGGTTAGTCTAATTAGGAATAAAGCACTAACAGCACTAACAACATTGTTTTGCTACAAGTAGCTCACCCACTAGAACCTAGAACTAACTTCGCGCCGTAAGCTCTCTCGAACTGCTTGTAAAAGGGCGCACGGTAAACGGTTGCGCCAAGATGTTTTTGGTTAGAATAAGATTAAGAAATTTATTTATAATGTTCATTATGTCATGTTAAATTTTCAATACATTTTCTTATTAATTCATTCATTTTCAACCTGAATGATTTTATTGCTGCAATTCTGCTTTTCTAAGGTTGAGACTTGAGAGTAACTTTAAAAGTNTGCCCCCAAATGTAACCCCAATTAGATCGCCCACGTATTTGTTTTTGCAACTTTAAGTTCAAACCGCAATTTAAAATATTTAGTTATTTTAGTCATGTAATGAATCAAAATAAAGGGTCAAAGTATTTTAAAAATTAATTTGGAAATTCACAACAAATGAACATATTTTATACGAGTACATTCTTCAGTTCTTCCATCTAAATATATTTTTCGTTATTCTTCTCAAATGAGTTACATTAGAGAGCAATCCTGAACGTCCTAACCAAATTAGAAACTATTATGTATTTTTCAATATGCTTTCACCACCTGCACCCAATGTTATCGAACCCAATTCTTAAGAGGCGTTCAGACATGTAAATTGTCGTACGTCTGAAACTAATAACCAATAATTTAACAGCCCTATTGTCTAGCAATACCGCAACTTGGCTCCCTCCACAGTTTATGTTTTACTAGCTAAATTTAAGGGAAACATTGTATACTAGAGTCATGTATTGTTGACTGTTAACTAACAAGTTATGGTTTATCCTATATGAACTCGCCTCATCCAGTTTGGATGAGTAGATTTACGCTAAGACCGGCTAGAAGTCAGGCTTAACTTCTAACAGTGGCGACAAATTTTAATCCCTCTCTATAGTATGAGATGACAGATTAAGGTTCATCAGACTTATCAACTCGGAAAGGGATCAACGCCGTATCGCCTTTCGCAAACTGTCATCGCTTTTCGCGCGCTGTCAATCGCGAGGAGGAAGCGTTTACGGAGCGATAAGTGTGCGTTGCAGTATGGAGGAATACTGACCGCCTCAAGTTGATACGGTTACGATCCCTTTCCGGGTTGATCAAAAATGTGCTTTAATTAACAGAAAAGGCCTTTTAAAGCTACACTATCTTACAGAATTTGTGAAAAGTTATTTGCTTCCCAGGACCCAGTTGACACACTATAATAGCGCGTAACTCAGTCAATGCCTGAGGTATGGCAGTGGCACGGGAGGGGACATTAAATACGGGAATATTCCCACCTCACTTTCCCACCACTGCAACTCCTGTGTAGCCAGGATCTACAGCTTGACCGCCACAAAAACCCAACCAATGAAGGTCAAGTTTGTCCCGGGGGAAAGTTAAACTGTCATTGGACCCGCAACGAAATTAATCAGAAGAACATAGGGGGAGTTCGAAATTAAGGTTCGAATTCGACTCGAAACGGGAGGGGACATTGACAAACAAAACTGAAGCATATTTGACGGTTGACGTTGACGTATGACGTCTCAAAATCAAAATCAAAATTCAATCAAAATCTCAAAAAACACTGCCGTGCCGCTCCCATAACGCAAGCACTGACTGAGTAAGCGATAAACCTATAGTCTATTGACATACTTTATGAGCCGTCATAATAGATCTTAATCTATGGCAAAGATAATTATTTATGACGTCACCAGTGTGTCAACTCAATGAGGGTTTTCGCGTATGAAAAATCCGCCAGATGGCAATACGTAGACGCGAGGTCCAAATGCTGCATGATTGGTTATTTTTGACATGACATTGATAGATATGTCAAAATCCACCAATCACGCAACAGTCAGACCCCACATCCACGTCCCGCCATCTAGCGGATCTTTCATACGCGAAAACCCTCATTAACTAATGATCAAAGTTACTAAAAATCGAAACGAACAGTAAAAATATTGGTTTATGGTGTTTTAAATTACCTCATCATTTAAAGTATGAACATTTCTTTCTGACAACCTCATAAAGGCGCTGGATGAAATCCGCTACCAATCTGGCAATGTAGAAATCTGGCAATGTAGAAATCACTGGGTGAGGCCTGTTCAGCAGTGGACGTCCTTTGGCTGAAATGATGATGATGATTTCTTTCTCTTTTCCAGATATTCAATAGATGTATGTCTATTCATAGAACTTTGCGGGACATGTTGTATCTACCATATTGTGATTGCCCAGACACTGAAACAGGTATGTCAATTTATATTTTATACTGCTTAATCAGATTCTATCGTCATTTTTATCCCTTTCAAGCTGTACGAGCGATAAATCCGAAGATTCGTAAGTTCTACCACAGATAATAATAATACGTTCTACTAACACACGCGACTATACCTCCCTCTCGTTCCCACCGCTGCAACTCCTGTGTAGCCAGGATCTACAGCTTGAGCGCCAATAAAAACCCAACCTTGTCCTGAAGTGGTGGTAGGGCAAGCTACCTATATTTGGGACATGTATAAATAATGCCCTGAAAAGGACCTATGTACTGAATAAACTATTTAATTTGATTTGATTTAATTAGATGTTGAAATATTTTTTTCAGATTATGGAAGCGGTATCCCCAACAATGAAGAATATGAATTTGACCATTAGAATTTACATCCTGATCGTTTTAGTACCTCTATTTTTCCTCTGCATGATACGGAACCTAAAGTATTTGGCTCCATTCTCATTATTGGCAGATTTGTTTGTAGGTAAATAATAACAATAATAGACTTTTCGAAGTTATTTGGCAGAAAAACACAAAAAAGTGTAGCAAATTAAATCAGTTGGAAGATCTTTACTTATTTCAAAGCATAGCAATGTTTTTATAACGTGCATTGCCTTTAAAATATTCATTTTCAATCAGGCACTTTCACCTTTAAGCCACCTGACTTATTTAGAAAACTTCGAAATTATAACCTTACCAAGACTGCAGGAATGCGCTGGATGCAGGCCGCTACCAATCGGCCAATCTATAAATCATTGGGGGAGGCCTATGTTCAGCAGTGGATGTCATGTGACTGAAATGATGATGATGATGCCTAACCTGAACATTTTCAGCCATCTGCGTATTAACAACGATGTACTACAGCATATCGCAAGCTGGCAACATCGCCGACCGACCGGCATTCAAGAGTCTACACGGTCTGATACAGTTCGTTGGCGTTCTTCTGTACAGCATAGATGGAGTGGGTATCACTCTACCAGTGGAGAACAATATGAAGAAGCCGCTTCAATTCCCTATTGTGCTGCAGATTGGTAAGGAAGAAGTTTTTTTCAAAACTGAGAGCATCGGGACTTCTTCTTGTTGTGTCGACAACAAACCTACACAGCGTCAGCCCAAAACTTTGCCACAGGAGTGGCGTTGTCAGTAGCCTTCGTTAAATCTTCTTGCGTGCAGTTGTTTGGGCACGCAGGACCCGACATCATGTTTTTCGTCGACTGGGGAACAAAACCACACTTGCACTATAAGTTTGAGCCATCCAAGAATCCCCACCTGAACAGATTGTCCTTACTACGGCCGACCTGCGTCCGAAGTCTATTGAAAGATTTCCATGTAGGCCATAGAATCGGAACTAAAATACGACATTTAATTTTATTATGCAGTATCTACATAGTACTTATAGCTCACGTTTAGGCTGTTGCTATAGCCGTAGTCACAGCAAACTGGTGGCTCTTGTTTTAAAATATTGACGTTTGGAGTATGAAATCTTTGTTCCAGGGTGGTCGATTGTGATTCTGTCTGTCACTTTGACAGGATTCTTTGGGTACTTGGGATGGGGCGAGACCTGTAAAAGCCCTATCACGATTCACATGCCTCTTGGAACGTACGTTGCTTTAATTCTCATAAATTCTTAGTAAGAGACTGCAGACGAAATTCATTTAACCCAATTAACATTTTATTTATTATCGAATACAAACTTTAATGTTTTTTCGTCGTTTGCAGAGTCACCATCACGCTACAGTTTTTGATGTGTGCCGTTTTAACAGTCACGTTTGCAGTCAATTTTTGGGTGCCTTTCCGGATAGTCTGGCATTACATTGGTAGGAAACATAAGAGGTAATATTTTTCTTATAAAATGTATGAGTTATGATTATTCAGGTCAAAAATTTGAGCCAGTTAAAATTACTTAAATCTAACAGTAGGCTGTCGCAAACTGCAGAGATGCGCAAACTTGCAATATTCACAGTTTTAGTCTGGTGTATTCCTATATCATTCCTTTATTCCCATCTACCCCCTTCGAGCTTGCCACTGGTGGTGGTGGTTGACACTAAATAAGTGGTGTTTATCATCCTGGCGCCTATTTTGTTTCATCTGCCCCCTTCATAGTTATAGTACATAGGCTTATTTGTATACATTATCAATGAAAATTATCTTATTCTACTCATCTCATGTTCCTTTTCTTTTCAGAAAACGAGATATATGGGAAAGATTCTATAGAGGAGTCCATGTCATCCTAGTGACTGGTCTTGCTGTGGCCTATCCCAATTTAATCCGCATCATGGTTTTTGTAAGTATTACTCATTCTGAATCTCTATTGTATGTGGATGATGGATCAATCATATAGTAAGGGCCGTGGAAATCCTCAAAGGATTACTGGCCTTGTCCAGTAATGAACGTCCTTCGGTTGAAACAAACGAAAAGGAGCAGTATAAAGTCGTACAGCCTGAGATGTTCACTGCTGAACATAGGCCTCCGCCAATGATTTCCACATCGCCCGGTTGGTAGCGGCCTGCATCCAGCGCCTTCCTTGTACCTTTATGAAGTCGTCAGTACACCTTGTGTAACTAAATCTTTATATCTTTATTGTTTCAGCTCGGAAACTTCTTCCTGGCCTTCATAGCTTTCATTTTCCCAGCGTTTGTCGAAAGTCTTGTATTTTGGAGTGAGCCAAGAAAAAGGAGGTTTAGGTGATTATTTCTTAAACTACCTTTTGGATCAGTTAATCTATTTTTATTAAAATTATTACATTACAAAATATTATTGTTTTCTTTTTCAGATGGCGATTTTTAAAAAACATACTTATTATAATCATAGGAATCATACTTGCCGCTAGTATATTTTACTCGTAAAATATTGTAAGAATAAATTATTATTTACTACAATCCCTTCTTTCTCAATTTATTCTGATCTTATTCACGTAATAGTCCAGTCAATGAATGCCTTAACGACGGTGTAGAGAGAAATCCGTGGAACACAATTTATGACCTCGGGACTTTATTTAGCCTAGTTAGGAGGTGAACATAGCAAAAGTCCCCGACCTTAGCCCTTGAGCCGGCGGGGGGAGGGGGGTTTAAAGGTACCACTTTTCAGTTTTTCGCTTAATCCTCGGAAACTATGCGTCCTAGTGACATGACTACTAGGAACTAAATAAAGCTTATTCAATTTGCTACAGGCGAGACCGTCAAGTTTTTCTATATCTTGTTAGTTTTTGCGGCATCTGCTCTAGGAGGTCTATAAAATTGGAAATTTTATTTTTGTCTTATATGTTCCTATCAGGAGAAAATCGACTAAATCAACATTNGACCTAAAGCCTAATGATTTCTATACTTTCCCCAAAATAAAGAATAAATTGCGTGGTCAGAGATTTTCATCACCTGAAGAAGCTGTGGAAGCCTACAAAACGGCCATTTTGGAGACCCAAACTCCCGAATGCAATGGTTGCTTCAATGATTGGTTTCGTGTATGGAAAAATGTGTCAAATTTCGCGGAGAATACTTTAAAAAGCAATAAATACATTTTTAAATAGTAATGTTGTTTCACTTCCTTGATTCCCGAAATTTTCAGTGCCGCCCTCGTATCCCCAACAATGAAGAATATGAACTTGACCATTAGGATTTACATCCTGATCGTCTTAGTACCTCTATTTTTCCTTTGCATGATACGAAATCTAAAGTATTTGGCTCCATTCTCATTATTGGCAGATTTGTTTGTAGGTAAATAATATCAATAATATCTATACTTTTATTAAGAGAAATCATCGATGTTATTTGGCAGCAAAAACAAATTAAATCAGTTGGAAGATCTTTACTATTTCAAAGTGTTGATATTTCGGGGAAAACCATTGAAACACGGAAATATTAACAAACGTATTATATTCGAGACTTCACATGTTTACAGGAAGAAAGATGGCGAGAGAGAGAAAAAAGTGCTGCCAACATGAAACGTTTAAACTAAACAATAAAGCCAACCTTAATAAACTAATCGATTGCGTTCTCATTTACCAACACAAAGCATAGCAATGTTTTTATAACGTGTATTGCCTTTAAAATATCCATTTTCATTCAGGCACTTTCGCCTTTATACCACATGATTTATTTAGAAAACTTACTAAACGAAATTATAACCTTACCAAGACTGCAGGAATGCGCTGGATGCAGGCCGCTACCAATCGGCCAATCTATAAATCATTGGGGGAGGCCTATGTTCAGCAGTAGACGTTCTGTGGCTGAAATGATGATGATGATGCCTAATCTGAATATTTTCAGCCATCTGCGTATTAACAACGATGTACTACAGCATATCGCAAGCTGGCAACATCGCCGACCGACCGGCATTCAAGAGTCTACACGGTCTGATACAGTTCGTTGGCGTTCTTCTGTACAGCATAGATGGAGTGGGTATCACTCTACCAGTGGAGAACAATATGAAGAAGCCGCTTCAATTCCCTATTGTGCTGCAGATTGGTAAGGAAGAATTTTTTTTTTTTTCCAAACTGAGAGCATCGGGACTTCTTCTTCTTGTCGTGTCGACAAAAAACCTACACAGCGTCAGCCCAAAACTTCGCCGCAGGAGTAGCATTGTCAGTAGCCTTCATTAAATCTTCCTGCGTGCAGTTGTTTGGGCACGCAGGGCACGACATCATGTGCTTCGTCGACTGGGGAACAAAACTACACTTGCACTCCAAGTTTGAGCCATCCAAGAATCCCCACATGAACAGATTGTCCTTACTACGGCCGACCTGCGTCCGAAGTCTATTTAAAGATTTCCATGTAGGCCATAGAATCGGGACTAAAATACGACATTTAATTTTATTATGTAGTATCTACAGAGTACTTATAGCTCACGTTTAGGCTGTTGCTATAGCCGTGGTCACAGCAAACTGGTGGCTCTCTTATTTTAAAATATTGACGTTTGGAGTATGAAATCTTTGTTCCAGGGTGGTCGATTGTGATTCTGTCTGTCACTTTGACAGGATTCTTTGGGTACTTGGGATGGGGCGAGACCTGTAAAAGCCCTATCACGATTCACATGCCTCTTGGAACGTACGTTGCTTTAATTCTCATAAATTCTTAGTAAGAGACTGCAGACGAAATTCATTTAACCTAATTAACTTTTTCTTTTTTATCGAATACAAACTTTAATGTTTTTTCGTCGTTTGCAGAGTCACCATCACGCTACAGTTTTTGATGTGTGCTGTTTTAACTGTCACATTTGCAGTCAATTTTTGGGTGCCTTTCCGGATAGTCTGGCATTACATTGGTAGGAAACATAAGAGGTAATATTTTTCTTGTATAATGTTACATTAATGTATGAGTTATGATTATTCTGATTACATTTTTGATCAAGTTAATTACTTATATCCGACAGTAGACTGCCTCAAACTACAGAGGCATCTCTGTAACATTTACAGTTTTAGTGTGGCGTAGGTACCATCTGTATTATTCATCATCTTCATCGTTATTTCAGGACGTCCACTACTGAACATAGGCCTCTCTCAATGATTTCCATATTGACCATACCATATTCTGCTCATGTTTCTTTTCAGAAAACGAGATATATGGGAAAGATTCTATAGAGGTGTCCATGTCATCCTTGTGACTGGTCTTGCCGTTGCCTACCCTAATTTGATCCGAATTATGGTTTTTGTAAGTATTTCTTCTTCTTGTTTTAACTCTGAAGCAGACAATTTTGTACCTTATTTTATAACCTTTGTCCAGTCCAATGTAAGTCCTTTGGTTGAAACAAACGAATAGAATGAGTATAATAAGTAATCATCATCATTTCAGCCACAGCCTGGGATATCCACTGCTGAACATAGGCCTCCCCCAATGATTTCCACATAGCCCGGTTGGTAGCGGCCTGCATCCAGCTCCTTCCTTGTACATTTATGAGGTCGTCAGTACACCTTGTGGGTGTCTAATGTCAACTAAATCTATAAATCTTTATTGTTTCAGCTCGGGAACTTCTTCCTGGCCTTCATAGCTTTCATTTTCCCAGCGTTTGTTGAAAGTCTTGTCTTTTGGAGTGAGCCACGAAAAAGGAGGTTTAGGTGATTATTCCTCTATTATTTCTACAAACTACCTTTTGAATGTCCCACAAGGTGGACCGATGACCTCATAAAGGTAGCAGGAAGGCGCTGGACGCAGGCCGCTACCAACCAGGCAACATGGAAAAAATTGGGGGAGGCCTATGTTCAGCAGTGGACGTCCTATGGCTGAGATGATGATGATGATGATGGTGACCTTTTAAATCGGTTAATCTATTTTGTTAGGATTATTATGATTACATTACAAAATATCTGTATTATTTTATTTTTCTTTTTCAGATGGCGATTTTTAAAAAACATACTTATTATAGTCATAGGAATCATACTTGCCGCTAGTATATTTTACTCGTAAAATATTGTAAGAATAAATTATTTACTACAATCCCTTCTTTCTCAATTTATTCTGATCTTATTCACGTAATTGATCGATGTAATGTAGGTAAGTAAACGATTCAACAACTCAAGTAGGTACTCGTTTGGATAAAACATTGGTGCATTGAGCAATGCACAAGGAAAAATTTCATTTAAATTAAGTAATGCAAAACGGAAACCCCAAGTTTCGTGTCCTAAAACAGTTAGGCTGGGCATCATCTAACTTTAACAATAACTATAACGATAACCGGTGTGTTTTGTATGGAGTTTGACAGATTTCTGACTTTTGTTAAAGTCAAAGTAAGATGGTGCAACCCAACCCCAACCTTAGACAGAACATAGGTATCAAGACGTCATCGACATCAACTGTACATTTTCCTGTTCGTTTACCAAAAAGTTTTTTTCGCAAAAGGATATGAATGAGGACCTTACTTTTAGACATTACATTCATCATCATCGTCATTTCCACCTTGTAGACCTTAATATATTGTTTGTAATTTTTTATATCTTTATATTCTTACTATAAAAATCTTTCTATCAAGGACCACGTTAGTATAATCTTTACATAACTCGTGCTTAGTCCAAAATTTAGAGCGCACTAAGCACTAGCTTCCAATCAAAAGTTTGTCTGCAACTAACTTGAGCATCTTGAGACGGAGGCCTCCGGAGGGTAGTGGAATCATCAATTTTGCGCCGCGTCGCACCGCAACGTCCAATTTGACTAGTCACCCTTACAATGTTCGTGTGGATTCCCCGGTTTGCGGGATCAACACTTCTTGGTGCGCCACAGAATTGCAGACTGCGTATTTTCTTCTATTTGGATATTTGAGGTCACAAGGGCTTTGGTAGTTGGAATAAAGTCGCATTTTGATGTCGATGTTTAATTTATCCATCATTTTGACTCATGGCAGTTCAACGGCAGGGACAGCGCTTTGAAGCACGAACTCTTCTCGTTTTTTTTTTCATCTTCTTCCAACAATCTTCTTTGAGATCGTCAGTTCAACGAAAATCTAGTCTTCTCTACCCAATTATGATGATGATTCATCCGACCGATTTCGGACATGGCGACCACATCTATTCCTAACTGTATTGAGTCTTTGGTTTGCCCGAAGTTGGCTTTTGTAGCCGAACTTCCAATTAAGATCTACCGAATAAAGTAGATCAGTCAATCTGACATAGGTAGTTCCATCCCTGTGCGTACTTCATTTCGCGGAGGATCCCTTAGGCCCGGTTTTTTGATTCGTAGTTAAAATAACCAATGGTCAAATTTGAC